GTCCGGTCGTGGGGCCTGAACTCTGGGCCTGGGCACTGTCTCTCAGCTCTTCAGCTCAAGGCTAGCGCTCTACCACTTGAGCCACGGCACCACTTCCGGCTTTTTTTTCTTTTTGCTTATGTGGTGCTGAGGAATCGAACCCAGGGCCTCGAGCATGCAAGGCAAGTGCTCTACCACTGAGCCACCTTCCCAGCCCTCATTTTTTTTCCTTCTGTAATACATTCACTAACATTCTATTTTTGACAGTTTATTCATCCATTAATTGTAAATAGTTTTATTATTTTACTTCCTTGTTTAAAATAAGTGGTACAGATTTGAGGTTGGTAACTGTCTTATAGAAGTGACAAGCCTAACTCTTGCTACCTTTAGAATCAATAAAGAATCTCAAGCAAATAAAAATACTAGCCAATAAACCCTAACTTCATATTGCTGGTAAGTGATAAATTACAGTAGCAAAATAACAGTGCCAAGGAGTTTTGCAAATAGACATTTGCATAGGGGCTGGGAAAGTGGCTTAGTGGTAGAGCATTTGCCTTGCATGCATGAGGCCCTGGGTTCGATTCCTCAGCACCACATAAGCAAAAAGAAAAAAAAGTCAGAAGTGGCGCTGTGGCTCAAGTGGTAGAGCGCTAGCCTTGAGCTGAAGAGCTGAGGGACAGTGCCTAGGCCCAGAGTTCAGGCCCCACGACCAGACCCCTCTCCTCTCCAAAATTTGCATAATACCATCCCCCTTCCCTCCCTCTACTCTAACTCATTTGTGCAGATGCAAACACAACTACATATATAAGGATCATTTTTTAGTATTGTAGCTCTAGCATAGTTTTATTTTTTATTTTTATTTTGTTGGTCATGGGGCTTGAACTCTGGGCCTGAGTGCTGTCCCTAAGCTTTTCAGCTTAAGGCGAGCGCTCTACCACTTTGAGCCAGAGCACTGTTTCTGGTTTTCCGGTGCTTAATTGGAGATAAAAGTCTCACAGACTTTCCTGCCCAGGCTGGCTTTGAACCACGATCCTTAGATCTTAGCCTCCTGAGTAGCTAAGATTACAGGCATGAGCTACCAGTGCCTGGCAAGTTTTATTGTTTTTTTTTTTTTTTTAGCTCTAAATCGTGAAACACTCATTTCATTCAGACTTCTTCCAACTCTTTCAATCATTTAGTCATTCAACAAATTTTTTACTCAAGGGACTAATGTATGATATTCCCTATGCTAGAATTGGAAGATACCTTTTAGATAAATTAGATATGCTTCTCTTCTCTGTAGAACTACATACTCACATGAAAGACTTATTTCTTCATATATTTGTGCTTGTCAGACTTTATCAAGTGTTAGTTTTCCATTTCCTTTGCTACATTATTTAATCACATTATGTATGGTGTTTCCTGATGGGTGATGGTTTGAATATACCCGAATTAATCATTCCATAAGCACTATTCTGGATACTACAGATTCTAAGGTGAATTCCTGTGTCATTATGTGGTTTCTCCCCCTCCTCCCTCTGCATACACTCCCACTATTTGTTTTGTGATGTCATCTGCCATGAATATTTCCTCAGAGCCAAGCCCTAGGTAATGCACTTTAACTGACCTCCTCTTACCTGGGTCTTGCCCTCCCTAGGTTTTTGAGGGTGGAAATCACTAATTATATTCCATATGTCCACCACAAAGTGTGGTAACATGCTTTGTATGTGCACAGCAAGAACAGTAAAGAACAAAATAGAGCAAAGAAACAGTATACATCATTCGTTTTAGGTTATTAGCACTGAACTCCCTGAAAACTAGAACAAATTTTAAATTCTTGCATCCTTTTTGAAAATCGAAACAAAGGTTGTCCAATCAACTTAAATAACAATGACATCAAGTTCTTTAAATTGTAGGAAAAAACCCACCAAACCCTGGAAGATTAAAAGAAGGAAATTCCAATATTAGGGACCACAATGTGATTGCATTTATAGTCCAGGCTTTTCTGAGAATGGAGTATTGAACGTAGGGGAAGAGCAAGAGCAACAAATAAAAGGAAAGGATCTGGAAGAGGAGAAAGAACCAAGAGAAACAAAGAGACCAAGAGAAATACAGAAAAGATGAGAAATGCAGAGTGAGTCTGTAGGCTAAACAGCTACTGCTGAGTTGAAATTCAGTGTCATTAGGATGCAGCTATTTCTCACAGCAAGTGCCCCCCAAAGAAGGAAACAAACCAGCAAATGGAAATAACAAGAGTATAAATCACTTAGCCAGTACTTATGGAGTCTTTATTCCATATTAGACTCCTAAATATATCACATCAGGATTAGTGTTAGCTCTTAGAAATGAAACATCAATAAGAGGACCACATGGTGCTGACTGTACCCCCAACTAATATTTCAGCTCAGCTTTAATTATCATGCTCATCTGGTAGCAGCGTGTTGCCAGTAAACAGAAATGGGTCATGGGAAGCCTGGGTTCTTGTTCTGGCTTATCATTATTATGACCTTAGTTGGTTAAGCTGTGGACCTTGGTTTCTTCATTTGTTAAATGTGAATAAAAATTCCCTGTTTGCTTGTTTCACAGGGATTCTTGGAGGATAAAATGTAGATAGATAGACAGACAGACAGACAGATAGATACGTAGATAGATACATAGCTAGATAGAGATATTTTCCTACATGCTTGGATAAGTATAAAATGCCAGATAAATGTAAAATTGACCTTGTTCTTTTCACTTAATGAAGTAAAGGGTAGGCGGGAGGTGGGTTTGATGACATTTTGCACAGAATTCTTGGTGACTCAATGAAGTGTCTTTTTTTTTCTCTCCTCAGTAATACCTGCTGTAGGATTATTACTGCTTACTTAATGGTTTTTTTGTCGCATACTTTTCCCCTTCAGAAATGCCAAAGGTGAAAAATACTATTCTACTGCTATAATTTGTCACCCTTGCTGCCTGAGCAAGACATGCATAGACAGTTTAGTAATTAAGCTTTTCAACACTGCATCATAAAGTTTTATTCTGGCAAAGGCTATATTTATCAGCTAACAAGTATTAAATCACCCCACTGCTCAAGCCATTTCTCACTTGAATATGTTCTTTTCAAAACAGAGCAGCTTTCTCTGGCTGGCAGGATTAATAAAAGCACCTATTTGGAATATGGTGATGATGTGTGGTCTTGTGGGGCAGAAAGGCACACACCTCAGCCACTATTCCAAGTGGTACTGACCCCTGATTTCCTAGGGAATGTTGATACCTTCACCCCGTAGTCTCTTAGAGCATCCTTCCATTTGACTTCTGTGGCCTTGGTAAGCAGAAGATAAGAGTCTTAAATCCATTGCATTTATAAGAAGAAGCAGCAAATGAAAATGTGAATGCAAAAAAGGGTTTTCAAAATGGGTTAAAATAGCAATGACAATGTCAACATAGTTTTTCCCTCCTTCTAATGTCATCATAAACAGAATCAGTAGAATATGAAAAGTTGTTAGTAATGGTTAAGGAGAGTGATTTCTCTAAGTGACCTGCCTGCTCTCTTTATAAATCTGTTCTTTTTTGACTTCCTTTGTAGAGGATAAATTCATGAAACAAATAACAACACTGTTCTTAAAAGTTCAGCATGCTCTCAGTTCATTATAGAATTTAAAACCAAAGTTGTAAATATATTTGAATCAAATGTAAAATCCAAGTAAAGACAAATGCTAATCCATGATGAAATACATCACTGTATTTTTCTTTATTTTATGCCAGAGACTGCATTAGTTTCCTTTGTTTTGTTTCTCTACTTCAAAGTAAATTTTCTCTGTTTCAAAATAAGTGACATTACCCACATGTAGGTATTCTTTGAACACTGTATTGCTAAAAGAATATACTAATATGGCAGAGGATTACAAAGTCCATTTAGTGGGCACACGAACACATTCTGCCTATCCCTGTGTCTGTGTTTGTGTATGTGTGACTAATGGCAATGACTGAATTATGAAATACCACCAGAGTAAGGAGTCTTTTATTGGACTTTACTTACTTTGGGAAATTGCAACTACTTCTTTCCTGAGGAAGTGCTACAATAGAACTAACTCTTTTGCATTTCAAATTAGCCTCAAGTAACTTGTTTGAAAGGTTGGAGATCAATTTCTCTCCACCCAGAGTCACAGGGTCAAGTCACTGAAGCATGTGGGTTGCATGTTGAATCACTAAGTTGACAAATATTGACCTCTTTTAAGTCCATCTATTTTCTGGTTCAGTACATCTTTCAGTTAATTTTTTATTGTCCAATAAAAATTTACATCACTAGACATGACACAGGTCTAAGTGCCACAGCACATACTGGCGAGCAGGTAAGCAAGAAGCTCCAGCCACAGGAGATACAAAAGCTAGTGATCAAGCTGGGTTTTTTTTTTTCTTTTATTTATTTTTTTATTGTGAAAATACTGAACAGAGGGGTTACAATTACATGGGCAAGATAATGAGTACATTTCTTATCAAGCATTGTAGCCTCCTCCTTCGTTTCCCCTTCCCATCCCTTCCCATCCTCCCCCTACCCCCCCCACCCAATCCTACCCCCCCCCCCCCCCCGCACCAAAGTTGTTGTAAAGTTCGTTTTCAACCTAACGACTTGTACATCTCATTGTTGCAATGGGTCCACCTGTATCCCTATTTAAACGATTTGTTTTTCCCCTTCCCCTCCACAAATTATACCGACATCAAATACAGTGAAAGCAGGGGTTCAAGGTGTTTTCTTTCAGCTTCTATTTCATTTTTTTGTCTTGCACACAAAGACAAAAATTTGAGTGTTACAAAGTACTATGTGATTTGGGAAATCAAGGTGAATCTTGTCAGTTCGGGAAAATCTGCAGGTTCCTTTGTCAATCAAGCCATCCTCCCAATGACTGCTCTGAGGATGTGTGTGCCTTACCACTCAGATCCTCTAAGAACTTGGGGAGTAGATGAGAAGCTTAATTCGTACTCTGTGATCCAGGATGGAGAGATCTTGTATTTGTGACTTGTGAAAGTATTCATTCAAGCACACATTGGAAGACTGACAATGAGGCTTGATAATCATTATTCTTTATTCAGAAAGAAAGTTTTTAAAATGATACTCAGAGTTTTAGCACATGTACTCTTACTTCATTTTAAGATGATTTTTTTCGGGGGTAGAATCACATGTTAGTCTTCAGCACCAGTTTCTTACCAAAGATTGATTATGGTAATTCAGAAAAGTGGGGAAAAGGTCTAAGGAGTAAGAAATTTTCTTTTTAATATGGGATATAACTGCCTAAACTATAAATTGCTTTTATATTTTAAATGATAAAATGACAATTAAGTGAAGCAATGTCACTTCACAAAATAGGAAACAAAATAATCCATAACAGAAATTTGTGAGAATGAAAATTCGATGTAAATACTGAGAGCAGGAAGATAGACACTAAGTATGATTCTTTAGAGCTTCCAGAACACACAGAGCAGAAGTTATACAGCCATCGAAGTTGGACTGAGTAAATCCATCCCCTCCACACACAAGGAAGGGGTTGCAATGGAGAGTCATCTGGCCAGGGTACTTGGCAGCAGCATTTGTAACCTGAAATGGTTAAAAAAAAAAAAAAAAAGAAAAAGGATTACATTGTGCACTCTACTGTGCTGGCATAGCATACATCCCATGGAAAGTTAATCTGTCTTCAGACATCAAGAATTCTACCAAAGAGCACCAGAAAGCATAAAAACAAAAACAAAGACCTCAAAACTTCCTCTAGCCCAAATGTTTACATGGGCATTCTTACATGTTTAAATTCTCAGTTAGAGCTAAGACCAGCAGAGTGTATTGAATGTCAGGATTACTAAGTGCTATGCTCTTGAGTCGTCGTTCTCCGGTCCAAAGTTCCTATGCTGCAATACCCACAAGGTGATGGTGATAATTGGAGTAGAGGCCTTTTGGAATGTGATTAAATCATGTGGGAATTAGAGTCTTTATAAAGTAGTCCCGGGGGATCCACGTGGCTCCTTCTTTCATGTGGCAACACAGCCAACTATGAAAAGAGGGTCTTCACCCAACCCCTCAGGCTATGGTATTGTGCTGGAGCACAAGAATACTGTTTTAGGCCAACACCTAAAACATGTTCTCTCCTTCCTTCCTTCCTTCCTTTTTTATTTTTCACACATTTCCTAAATAGTGCTCTGAGTTTCTAGACACTGGAAGAATCACATTTTAAGACATTATAGCCCTTTGTTAAAGGAGTTCTTAGTCTCAAATGTAAGACTGAGCCAAGAGCAGTGAGTGGCTCCCTTCTATTATTTACTGAGCACCTCCTCTATGCATTTGCAAACTGCATTGTGCAAATGAATCAATCCACTGTAATATATTCATGCAGGTGATTATAGGGGTCTAATGAGTTTGCTAGTAAAGGTTATTCCAAGAAGGAACATTATGTATGTATAAGTGCCCAGTTTATGTGCAAAGACAGTGTGCTTAGGAAAGCATGAGGCAGGTCATACTACGTGCGTGTGTGCATGCCTGCGTGTGTGTGTGTGTGTGTGTGTGTGTGTGTGTGTGTGTGTGTGTGTATGTGTGTGTTAGGGAAGGGGCTGAATGAGGAAAAGACATAATTGAGATGAGTTAAGAAGGATTTAGTGGGGCTAGGAAGGTGGCTCAGTGGTAGAGCGCTTGCCTTGCATGCCTGAGGTCCTGGGTTCAATTCCTCAGCACCACATAACAAAAAAGCCGAAAGTGGCGCTGTGGCTCAAGTGGTAGAGTGCTAGCCTTGAGCTGAAGAGCTGAGGGACAGCACCCAGGCCCAGAGTTCAGGCCCCACGACCGGACATCCCCCCCCCCCACCAAAAAAAGAAGGATTTAGTATCTCAAAATTTAAAAATAGAAACACTAATAAATAAAAATGTCCATTGAAAATATAGAATTAGCTATTTAAAGGGGAGAAAGTGATCTAAAGGAGATTAATTTACTTTTTAGAGCAAGGTTTATGATACAGGAAATAACATGAGACAGAGATTATTTCCTGGAGAAAATATTCTTAAGATTAGGATATGAAGGTGGCTCAGTGGTAGAAGGCTTGCCTCCCATGCATGAGGCCCTGGGTTCAGTTCCTCAGCACCACATAGACAAAAAGCCAGAAGTGGAGCTGTGGCTCAAGTGGTAGAGCGCTAACCTTGAGCTGACAAGCGCAGGGAGAGCACGCAGGCCCAGAGTTCAAGCCCCATGACTGACCAAAAAAACCAACAACCCCCCCAAAACACACGTTTAATGATGCTGCTGATAACATTCACGTGAGAGGAACAGAGAGAGGTAAGTGTAGTTATCTTGGACACTGAGATAGATAGCCACCAAATCACCTCACGCTCCCTCAAACACCAAAATACACAACTTTCTTACAATGGCAGTGTCACTCGACATTGCTCCACAGCACAACCTCAGGGCCATCATTCACGTAGACTACTACATGGTGGTTCTCATTCATGTACAGTATTTTCATAGAGAGTAATAGAGTAAGAGGTATGAGGACTTACTTGTTTCCAAATCAAGAAAAGGTAAAGATACATAATAAATACTGTTTGGAAGTGTTCTATCCCTGACCCATATCCCTAGTGCTTTGGTTTTGCTTTAACAAAAGAGGTGGAACTATTGCTTCTTGGTTGAACGACAGATACAGGCCCCTAGAACCCCGTGCCACTCAGATATAAACACAATGTTAAGAGGATCCTCTCACTTTAGGAGATTGCTTTATAGCTATATCTCTGATACACACAGCACAAAACTGGAACTTGGCAGATAAGATCTTTGAGAGGCTAACATAGTAAGTACATAGCAGGAAAAGTGAAGCATAGCCTTAGAGTTTTTTTGTATTTATGTGCCTTCTTTGTGTTTATATATCTATAATTATTGTTATTGTAGAGGTGATATACAGAGTGTTTACAATTACACCAGTCAGGTAATGAGTCCAATTCTTTGTGAACTATGACTCTCCTTCCCTTGCTCTCTCCCAGTTTTTCCCTCCTGTCCCTACCCACAAGATGTACAGTTTGTTTTCCACATAGTATCTAGTGAGTACCACTGTTATATCATCCCTGTTCTACCTTTTCTCAGGAACCCTCCCAAAGACAAACAAACTAAATAAATAAAAGGAAAAGAAAACAAAGAACAGCAACAACAGCCAGTAAAAAAGTCTCTTTTTTCCTTTTTGTGGAGTTCATTTTATAACATATTATTTTACATTATCACATGCACATAGCTAGTCTGTAGACATTCGCACACTGAGGTCAAAGGAGGATATGCATCGGGGCCTCAGATGTTCAATCAGAGCTTTGAAACTTTTGCTTTAAAAAGAATTTTAACAACTTGGGATTTGCCAATGAAATACTAAGAAAGGAAGAAAACTAGGTTCCTAGATATTAGCAATTTCAGAACATGTCAAATGATCGTTTTTATGTTACATAAAAACTCAAACAACAGACAGGACGGGGAAGATGCCTGGCATTCTGGGGCCATTTACTAGAGGGGCAAATAACTTTTTGACTTTTAATAGGACCCCAAAGTATCAGCTATTAGTTGTCCTGCATCATTAATGTTCACAATGATGGCCCTAGTTTTCCAGAACCAATTCTAATATGCATAAAATATTCAGTGCTAGCATTTCTTGAATGTTCACTGCATGTCAAATGCTTCACATGCATATCTCATGCAATTTGCACAGCAACCCGATGAGGTAGTTACTATTATTCTCACATTATAGATGTGAGATTCAGCACTATTGCTATTTGCCCAAGACAGAAAGCTTGTAGATGAAAAAAAAAGATCAGGCTGACTCTGGAATTTACATTCCCAGCACTTTTAGTAACATTTCCATAATGCTTTCATTTAAGAAAAGCAAAACAAAAAAATGTCTGAGTAGTCATTTAGCTTTAGGCATCTTGAAAAATCAATATGCATGGAATTTATATAAACTATATATAACTAAAATGTTTTAATAGTTATTTAGTTTTATGTATCTAGAAAATTCACACAAATGGGAACATTGATCCATATTCATATAAACACATACATATATATGTCTGACTATGTAGAATATACACACATGTCCAGGTCTCCATTTGTGGTGAGGTTTTGATATATTCCATTTGACATCCCCATATAGATAAACCATGGCACCATTAGACATACAACTATTAAGCAGGATGGAGCTTAAGCGAAATATGTTCTGCCCAGTCTAAGCTGGTAATTTATCAGTGCTATGTAATTTAATTTGATGAGTAGTAAAAGCTAGATGCCAGATCACATGGCTAGAAAACTGGGCCACTGATTAGCCGGTCGGCAGTTTGGATGAAATCAATCTCACTGCAGTTAGATGGAATTGCCCATTTTGTAATTACCCAATGAGGAAAATATGAAAACATGGAGTATGTGTTGGCAAGCTCCCTCAGCCATGTGAAGCAGAGAGCTCTGAAGTGCAGGAGCACAGAACTGTCAAAGCCACAGTCTCTCACAGTAATGCTGCCTCTGGCTGTGCTTCCAGCCACAGCGAGGAACCACATCTCAATGACCGTGTTTAAAAGAGATGTCAGGACTGAAACAACCCCTTCGAAATCCAGGTTGCTTTGGCTTGCATGTGTGCCAAGGTCAGTCAGAAAGAACCCTTGCCTGCTCTAGGTGGGAATGTAAGACTTCTGTAAGGTTAGATGATGGATGCATGGATTTAAAGTAGAAAAAGATGTTTTATTTCTAAGTGATCTAAAACCATGTGGATGAGCTTTGTGATTGCTCTCTGCCTGCAGAATAAAATGGAACCCCTCTAACCTTCACAGGTAAAGATTTTCATAACAAGAGTTCTTATCTCCATTCCCGTCTCAGAGCCTGCCATGGTTCCGTTGCCGCATGTCCTTAGGATCATTCAAACTCAGGTTCTTCAAACACATCTTTCTTTGTTGTGTCTCTGTGGCTTTGGACAAGCCATTCTGCTGGGTGAAGTAACCCATTCCATTTTCTGACAAGTAAATTGTTCATCCTTCAAGACTACAAATGTTACCTTTCTGAGGTGTCATTTTTGTCAGGCAGGGTAAGTGGATTTTCAGCATGTTATTTATAGCTATTATGCTGTTTGCTATTTTGCACCATAATTATGTCTATGCCTATCTCCCATTCTAGCCTGAATGCTCCAAAGAGTAGGGTCTGTGATTCACTAATCTTTGTAGTTAAGGCAAAAATAGAGCCCAGCCCATAATACAGAGTTCTAGAAATGTTTATTGAGTTAAAATTATATGCAGAATTGATCAAATGAAGTTCTTCACAGGGATCCATCTATATAACAAGTGCTATTTAGTGATTCCTGCTGAGCTGAGCAGAAGTGCAAATGGAAGAGCTACTGTATCCAGAAGGTTCTCAGTGATGACAAACGAAGGGCTGTTCTTTTGTCTGATTGTAAACTTCAACTTCAACTGCTTTATGTGACTTTCTCATATACTATCTCTGCATGTCAACAAAATGACAATATGTAGTCAATTTTTATGTATTACAGACTAATAATAGACTTTTGCTTTTTTTTTTTTTTTTTTGGTCAGTCGTGGGGTTTGAACTCT